ATGTTTTGAAAAATTATTTTGAGAGAGAGTTTTGGAAAAAGTGATTGATTTGATGTGTATGAGAGAGATTTGTTTGGAAAATTTGTAAACCAAACAAGTTTTGGAAAAAAAAAATTGAAAAAATTTGTTTGGTTTGATTACTTTTGAAAACTTATTTGTAGAGAATTTTTCTCAAAAATTTTTGGAAAACACAAACCAAACAAGGCCATCACTCTCTCTATTTTTTTATATATTTTTTCGTAAAAAATTAAAAAATTATTAAAATAACATATTCTCAAACGAGGCCTTCCTATCATAACTTGCAACACTGCATACAATTACCACTAATAACTTAACTTGGTTGTTTCTTATTTGATTTTTTTTTTTTTAAAAAAAATCCATTGCATGAGATTTAATATATTACACATCTAATAAAAAATTATTAATTAAAATATATCAAAGTATAAAAAATAAAAAAAAAAAAAAAAAAATCTAAAAGGAACTACCTAATGCAATGTTATGGTGTATTGAAGTTTTAGCACTACATATATCAGTAACTATTTTTAAATTTCTAAAATAAACACATATATGTTTGTGCCTATTTTTAATTTTAAAAAGAGATTTACTAGTGCCTAAATAAAAAACAGATGGCACAAATAATACACAGATATTACACAGACAATGCACAAATAAAACACCAATAGCACAAATAGTGCACAGGTAATGTATAGATAGTGCACAGATTGCACTGATAATGCACAGATATACACTTGTCTCTATTTTTTAATTTAATAGTGTATATATATATTTCTATTTATTCTTATTTTTAATTTAAAAGTGTACAAATAAACTTCTAGACCTATCTGTCTCCATTTTTTAATTTTATCAATCCAAAATTAATTGTGCATAATACGAAGCTTTCAAAATTAATTTCAAAAATGATAAAATTTTTAGTTAAAAATACCCCTCTCTCTCTCTCTCTCTCTCTCTCTCTCTCTTATTTTTTTATATATTTTAATTTGAATTAATTACATATTCTTTTTAATTTTTATTCAAATGTTACTTTTGTCCACCTTAAACATTAGTCATTGTTTCAAAAGGGTCCTTTTATCACTTATTATTAAAAACTATATAATATTAGGGATTATGAAAAAATATTATGAAATTTTTTTTATCATTTGATTAGTATGTGGTGTTTTATTATATGTATAATGTAAGGATAGAAAAAATTTTATGATCATTTTCATGATATATTTTTTTTTATGATCCCTAATATTACTTTAGAAAATAAACATAAAGGGCTTGCTTGATAGTCATGTGAACATTTTTTATGAAGCCTTTATTTGAATCATGAATCTAAGTTGGATTTTACACACATTTTTCCTTTTATTTTTCAAATATTTACTAAATTAATGATCTACATACAACTTAAAATAAATAAATTATAAAAAATGTACATATTTTATTCTCAAACTTTTATTAGGAGACCAATAGTTCAAACCTCTTTACTTATACATGAGTGTTGCTCCCTTTGTATTTGTTGGGCTTCTCTATTTGTATTAATTATGTATTTATTTTATTTTATTTTCATTTGATGATTGTAATTCATTAAATTTTATTGCAATATCATATATGGAAAAAAAAAATAAAAAACTTTTACTCAAATTTTACTTTGATTATTTTTTAGTTTTCATTCAAGTTTTAAATAGCTGACTGACAAAAGAATTATATTGAAATTTTAATTATTGTAATTAAAGAACCATGGATTAAAGCAAAATTCTGCTGAACAATGTAATTTAAATGTGTGTGAGTCGATTTCTGACCACACTGTCAAATTGGTATTCAGCTGGAGAGCATTGGCAAATTAGATTAAACCCAAACGACCTATCACAGAAAGAAGAGATTCCGGCGGTGGTTCATCCACCCGGGGCACTCCGACGATCAAGTTAGTTATCTCTCAAAGATAGCAAAAGTGCTTAACCCACTATTCAAAATATAAAAAGTGTACTTTAGACCCATGATGGTACCTCCCTTTTATAGCCAACACAAATCTAGTCCCAATAGAAGCCTAGCTTCAATGGACTCTGGATTATTGCTAATCTTTGACTCCCAGTAGGATTTGGATAAACTCTCTAAGAGTCTTATCTTTATCCAAACTAAAGGTTTATCTCATTCTAGGACTCTTGTCCCTTATCCGCTTATCCCGAATTCCGGTATCTTCGCAGATAACCTCGGCCTAGCAGAGATTACCTCGGCATCATGACCAAGACACGTGGCACCTTGGCTGACACTTCGGTGCCACCTCGGCCACGTGTTGTCATTCAAAAATTATATCCCCACAACTGTCTCCTAGGTTCTATTACCTCGGTATCCTGAGGTGAGAGCACCTATATCATTTCACCATATAGCACGTTGGCTAAGCCAACTCCATTACTTATTGCCGAAGTCAAGACTCGTCCGCTCAATATGACCAAGACCTATAGTCTGTTTCCATCGATGCTTTAGAACCACTAACCAAGTTTACTTAAGTTTCTCAGCTGAGAACGTCCTCTTAGCCGAGGTCCTGCTTTATTAAATCAAGAACTCCAAGAGTTTCTTTACGCGTATGAGTTGTCACACACAGCAACTCAACCATTTCAGCCACGCGTCTTTCCCTCACTGGACCGTACTTCACACGCACCTTTAAGTTGCCTTGCGTTTGTGTGTGCCGTCTGACAAGCACGTCGCCCTAGGCACATTGATTGTAATTTTGCCGCCATTTCGTGATTTTGATCAAAACCACTTCTCTCTCTCTGTCTTTTTACTTTTGCATCCTCAACTTCGTGCTAACTCTCTCTCTGTCTACTCTTCCAAATCCGCCATTGTTTTCAAGCTCTCAAGCTCTGCAACCACTTCCACTTTTCCTTTTTGGCGAAGCCTTTGCTGATCTTTTCCGGTCGCTACCATCGTTTGACTCCGACGTACTTAACACCGGCTTCATTCTCTTTGGTGAGTTATTTATGTCCCATTCGTTTTAATTTCTTGTTGTACTTCAAAGAACTCTGCTGCTTTTGCGAACCTGCTCATGTCTTTGATCGTTTAATTTGTATCTTGATTTCCACCATGTATTGAGCATGTTTGCTTCATGATTCTATTTTTGCCCAGTCCATTCTTGAGTATATACACACTGCTTACATATTTGTTGATTTTTGCCACTGTTCTTGGCCTTACACACCTACACACTCTGTCACAGTGTTCTTGGTGGTTCATCACTATTTCTTGATTCTGAATCATTGTTCTGATTTCTGTTTTCTGTGTCTTTTCTAGATTCTTGCCTTCAATCTTTGTTTGTCTAGACTTAGGTTTGGGATTTGTCGTAGAACTCAAGAATCCTAGGGAAAACTAAAACGAATTCCTCTAAGATCCTCACAAATTCTTACCCCATTACACATTTAGGTTCTAGCCGAGGTCCTTCAAACCTTCACAAAACACTTTCTTCTAAAATCCAACACCTTCCCTTTAAGCCGACATCATGGGTATGTGGAGGTATAGGGTAGACACCCCAACCAAGTTAGAATATTTTAGACGGGAGTTTTCCATCCCTGCCGACGTTCATCTCAGGTTGGCAGAGGAGGATGACTCCATTATGCCCACAGTCGACTCCATGCCCTTCCCAGTTGTAGCTTTCATAGAGTGTGGACTTAGGCTCCCACTTAACATCCTTTTCTGAGAAGTCCTCCATTACTGCAAATTGAACCCAATGCAGCTCGCCATCAACTCTTACCGAGTTATCAACGGCATAATAGCCTTAGCCAAAAAAGATAATGCTAGGGTAACTTTAGCCGACATCCAATACTACTACACCATGTGTGACCTCAAGTTAGAGAAAGACTATATCTACTACCTCAAACCGAGGTCCACAGAATACAAACTTGTTGCCGACCTCCCAGATTCCAACAAGGGAGCCGAGGACGATTACTTCATTGTCTCGGGCAACTGGGAGTTCGCTCCAGATGAGGACCTTCACCTCTACCCTCTTAGCTGGACAGTATTTATAGAGGGTAATGGTAAGAGCTAAGTGTTACATTTACTT